ACTTCTTTGAATCTGGTCCCCTCAATACTGGTAGTGCTCCCGGGATCTAATACATCCGAGCATGGAATTCTTTAGTATTTTGGTCCATTCGTTCATTCATTTCCCTCATGAATCTCATGAGCTTGATTTTGAAAGGATCATTAGCATTGTTATCATTCCCGGAATCACTACTGAACTCCTCCCTTGAAATGACGTTATCGATTCTTTGCGTTGTTTGATTTGCAGGCAAGTTGGGAGAGGCTCAAACTCCTCCATTGAAATTATTGGAGGCAACTGAAAGTGCTTGCTTCAACTCCATCATTACCCGATCTTGTCTTGAGAGATGATTCATGATTTTTCTTTGTTGCGTTCTCAAAACTTTGACCGTTTCAACAACATGTTCATCGTCCATACCATTAGGAGTTGGACTTCTCATATGCCGAGGATTTCATTCTTCGCGAACCGAAGTTGTCTCATCTCCTTCATTGTGAGTTCCGCTGGTTCAATCATCACGTTGGAACATATCCTCACGCTCGTTGTTTGTTCCAACATTTAAAGAGTTGTTCACATCGTTAGCTGCCATATCTGATTTTACTTTTACTAAAGAAAAAAGCGTAAAAATGCGTTAGTAACAGATGAATGGATCAAAGTAATAACACAATTATCTATGCCCTATGGTGAGCGCCAAATTGTTTACTCGTAAAACAGTACAGTTGAATTTGTAACGTGGTTTATAGACACGTGAATTATTTTGATCCAAGAATATAAAATAACTACAAACATATTTAAATTAATTAAACAAACTTGAAGAAAATACAAACCTGATTGTGGGATCAGCTTCTCTGGTAACAATAATAAGAGCAATGTGAAAAGCAAAAAGAGAGGGTGTTGTTTAATAGAATAAGAGCTGATTTGTGCCTTTTGTGTACATATGATTTTTCGGCTGCGACTCTAATTTCAGACTTTGGGTTTGCTACGTTTTTCTTATCGGATGTCCCCAAAGGAACCTATGGGTTTGCTTATGTCAACTACACGGGTTTGTCATCTTTATGGCTCAGCATGAGCAAATTTCTACTCTCTCCACTTCTACATCACTCGTATATCTTGTGACTTAGCACATGTAGATGAATTATTTCCATATCATGCAGATACCCTACACCTCTCTCAAAATATCTTCTTTCAGTAATCTTGACTAATCTGAGACTTTATCCATTGAGATTAAATTTCATATAAACACACTCTTTGATAGGCATGTGGAGTGCAAGACCAAGCCCGGTTTTTTGTGTTTCTTGTTGTCTATTCATCAGATATGGTTTGATAAGCTGAATCCAGCTTAAGTGTTTGGACGTATACATTAGTCTCGTGTACATACAAGTAACCAACCTACAAAGAGTTACCATCAGAATATGGTTATTACTTTGGATAACAGATTGTGTCTAGGCCAAATTGTGGCATATCGACTATTTCACGGGATATCTACTACCTCTCACTAAGATAATTATTGTGTAATTCTGTCCACCAAGATTTAGATAGATAAAAAGCAATCACCTAAAAACTTGTCTCTATTAAACTTCGTTAACTGCTAGACTACAACTTCAGAGTGCTCAATGAAAGAAAAGCATAATGACAAATAAAAGAACCACCAAGCGCTGCAAACTTGTGCACAAAATATTATTTCATGTACAATGTCTGTTGTATTTAAGACACTAAAACACAGTATAGGACCCCAATACACATACTTTAAATCCTATTGTATGTTAAACTTGTGGTAAGTGGCAGACCAGAATTTTATATAAGCGGGTTCAAACAAAGACTATGGTAGCCAATCGTATAAGCAGCATCGATAAATAAAATTTGCTCACCACTCTTTTTTTGTTCATCATGAGACCTCAAAACTAAGTCATCTGCACTCTTTTTTCGACAATGTAGAGAAATTCTTTTTAAAAAAATTTACTTCTATTTTTAATATTTTATCTATATAAATTAACCAAATTTTCTTCTATAAATTCAAAATTTTATTAATTTTACTAAAACATATTTAACCAACATAAAAATCTTGGGTAAATTTCACAAATGGTCATATACCTATGACTTGTTTTTACCAAAGTCATATAACTATGTTTTCTCACATAAAAATCATAAAACTTTCACTAACTCACACAAAAATCATGTTGACCAAAAAATATAATTTTCTGGTACTTATTCCACATTTTTTTATTTTTTATTTTCAGTCTAAGAATACTAACTCAATTAAAATAAAAATAACTAACCTAACCCGTCCCAATACCCATATATAAAAATTAAATAATATTAAAAGTGTATCCCCCAAAATACGATATTTCTATCTTTTTTTAATAAAATTTTCATTCAAATTGATAGCATCATTAATTTCAAGAGCTCTCTTATTATCATACCGTTTAATTTTTTGTCAGAATCTCATGCATTCCAAACTAAGTTTTTCTGGTGAAGGATTCACTTTCGATTTATTTTACTCTATGTATATGGGTATTGGGTTGGGTCGGGTTGGATAATTCCTATTTTAAGGGTAAAAAGTTGATCAGTCGGTCGAAACTAATTGCATTCACTAACCAAAAATTATATAAAATATGTATATTATATGCATATAATACATATATATACACAATATATATTTTATCAGCTATTATTTTTGGGAGCTGCTAAAAATATATATTTTTCTATTTTTATTGGGTTATTATTTATTAGACTGAAAATAAATAATAAAAAATGTGGAATAAGAAAATACTACTGAAAATTTGTATTTTTTTAGTCACTTTGATTTTTATGTGAGTTAGCGAAAGTTTTATGATTTTTGTGTGAGAAAACATGATTATATGACTTTGGTGAAAAAAAGTCATAGTTATATAACCATTTGTGATTTACCCTAAAAATTTTATAACTCTAAGAAATTTAACATAGTAAAGTATTTACAAACAAAAAACACTAAAAAAGTATAAACTAAATTAATTAACACTAACGATTAGAGTAAAAGATATTATATGCCAAACTAATATTCAATATAGCACAAATTAATAATTTCAATATAAACTAAACTAAAACTAAATTAACAAATTACAAGTAATTTCAACAAAGCACTCTCATGTTTTAGCAAAAATTATGAAAGAGAGAACCAAGGTTTCAATTTTTTTGAATTAAAATAGAGTTTAATAAGAGTGGTTTTTGTTGGATTTCAGCAAAGAAAAGAAATCATAAAGAGAAGTAGGAAAAGAAGACAAAATAGAAAACAAGGAATTGCTAAAAAAGAGAACACGCATAATAGAAGTTTGTTGTTTTAGTAGATATTTGAATTTAGGACCTCAGCTGCATTTTGAACTTTCTTGACCACTGCTCTGCAAGCCTAGCTTCTGTTAAGCGGGTTTAGGTACCATTATATTTAAGTATTTCATGTTTTTCCGATGAAATTCACATGTAAAAATAATTAATTTTTTTGAGGAAGCGGGTTCACCCCTTCCTCCCGTAAGGTGGGTCGCCCCTGCTTGTAATTGATGCCATGTTGTTATACACGATCATAACATTCTAGACTAGAGAGGCCACAAATTCAGATCCACCTTGTAAAGTAAATAATAATAGATCCGTCGTCATTTCACATTGCATTCCCAGCTAATCAATCTGGTAAAACTGTTTCATTTGGTGCAGCTAGCTCACCACCAAAACCACTAGATGAAATTTTGATAAAAGTCATTCAATGGTTACCTACTGCCTACTGGTACCCCCTGGATCTCAACTCATCATGAAACCTCGGTTGCTTGTCAATCCTGTGTGCTCCCAATACTACTCTCAAGGGGGCCGATAGATGATAAATTGCAGTCACTTATCAATTCTTGTACCAAAATGCCCTACTCCAAGATCATTCAAGGACAATTTGATAACAAAACTTGAAACAACACATTGTTACTTAGGTCCTGTGACAGTTGATAGTCAAGTGCACAGCACAGAAGAATCGGATGCGTTACTTGGAAGCATCTCAACGCAGTAATCACTACAATTTTAAAAAAAAAAAAAAAAGGATATGAGAAGACGGGGAAAATGGAAAGTTGAGAAGGACAAGCACACAGGAATGACAGCACAATTTGGACCACCACCTACAAAAAGTTTCCCAATTTCTTCCAACCAAATTTATTTTCTTAATAACTGTGGTTTCTGAGTCCAGCTTGCTCACACTTTAACCATTTCAACGGGTACCTATTACCTCATACCCACACACGTACCATGGAGCTCTGTGTGCCAAGGTTTAAACAACTGAAAAAATCACCTAACGATTTAATTTCTTCAAACCAAATTTCATAACACAAACTGGTAATTGAAAAATATGTCACATATTCGATTCAAAAGTAATTGAAATTTGGTAACTTTTTCATGTAAAAATATAATCTAAACAAAAACACCCTTAAAAATTCGGAAAAATTCCAACATTATATGCTGGAGTTCAGATTTTTAACATATGAGATTCTAGTATAATGTGCTGGAATTTCATAATGTGCTAGAGTTCCAACATAATATGCTGGAAGTTTATAAGCATGAGCTCCATAATCCAGTATATGATGTTAAAACTTTCCGTGTTTTAGCTAAAATAGTGACTATTTTTGAATGACTTTGTAAACGTTGAATATTTTTTAATTACCGGTCCAAAAACTAGCTAGTTATTTTCACAAGTGAACCTGTTTGTTAGCTCGCATTACGTGGTCCAATCTGAGTTGTCCAATGCCCCAGAAGAAAGGAGTGACTGGCTAAAACTCATCACTCACGTGCATGCAGTGAGTTGCACTAAATGCATGAGAGAGAAAGAGAAAATAAGATAGAGAAGAGAGAGAAAGAGGGAGGGGGCCCCAAAATTTCCTGACAAAGCTGATCATGATATACCAGCAAGAGAAATAGAAAAGAAATCACCATAATCTAGCCAACCAAAGAAGAAAATGAAAGCTACACTGCACCTTACAAGAAAAAGAAGTGTGCAAGGGAACATGGTAAAAAGTCTCCCTTCTACCACCACTTTTTCCTCTTAACTCTTTTAATCATCTAAATCAGTCTCCCTCTCTCTCTCTCTCTCTTTACATACATCTTCATATGTAAAGGTGTGTGTCTGCCTCACTCCATATGCTCAACTGAGCATCTCTATGTTTCAAATGCTCAGTGGAAGAACCAGTAAAAAATCATGTATGAAATTTAAGTAGCATATAGACTGCTAATGGATGGATATGCAGAGTTATCAACCATCCATTTCCCTTTTTCCTAATCACATTTCTCTAGTTTTCAGATTCATTTTTCAGCCCAGAAATTTCAGGTCCTTTAGTTGCTAGCTAGCTCAATCATGTATAGTTTTCCGTATTTTTTCAGGATACAGTAAAGATGGAAGCAGCTGCTCTTTTCAAAGTTCTTGAAGCAGTAAGCTTTTGAGATCTTGGGAGTGGACTTGACTACCTCTGTTAGCTTCACAATGCCAGTTCCTCTTGCTCCATATCCTACACCACCAACGCCATTTACACCGCCTGCTAACGGTACAACATTTTTCATTCACCTATTTCTCCTTGCTAATAATAAGACAAACAAGAAGGACTGTCAAGCATAACAGTGAGCTAGAGATTGATGGTTGCAGTTGGAAGATCAACAGTTCTTATCTAAATCTCCAACTCTAGAATCCAAATCAAAGTTTAATTTAGCATTTGTAGATGAAGTGTGAAAAGAAAAGGAATAAGACAAACAAGGACGGTCAAGCATAACAGGGAGCTAGAGATTGATGGTTGCAGTTGGAAGATCAACAGTTCTTATCTAAATCTCCAACTCTAGAATCCAAATCAAAGTTTAATTTAGCATTTGTAGATGAAGTGTGAAAAGAAAAGGAAAAAAGATAAAACAGTATTTATTAAATAGACCAAAATCAATTAAGGTCATGGGCACCAATACTTCCTTGACTAGTAAATTGTTAATTGCTTAATAATTCTGAATTCAACTTCAGCTTTCTGGTGAATCAGTCTCACGGTTCAGGAAAAGTGACAACTTTATGAAATAGTATAATAATGCCAGACCTGTTTGACTGTATAATATGGTGACTGACAGGTACACAGAGCCAGCTCGTGTGCTCTGGATGTAGAAATCTTTTACTCTATCCAGTTGGAGCAACATCTGTCTGCTGTGCAGTTTGCAATGCAGTCACAGCAGTACCACCTCCTGGTACGCAAGCTCTATATTAACATGTTCATTGATTGAACATTTAAACCTTTAAGCTCCTAAAGTTGTATTAGGTGTAAGAAACAGTCCATTTACATGTTATGAACCTTAAACAGGCACTGAGATGGCTCAGTTGGTTTGCGGAGGCTGCCACACATTACTAATGTACATTCGTGGAGCAACAAGCGTGCAGTGTTCTTGTTGTCACACAGTCAATTTAGCTATGGAAGGTAAAGTGATACTGCAGCTTTTTGAAATATATGAATATACTCCATGTAATATATTAATTACATATCCTTGCTAGTACAAGTAAGAATAAAATGGTATTGTCACAGCAAATCAGGTGGCACATGTGAATTGTGGCAACTGCCGCATGCTGTTGATGTACCAATATGGGGCACGATCAGTGAAATGTGCAGTGTGCAATTTTGTGACATCGGTAGGGGTAAGTATAAAATTCTCTTTAGCATTAAGTCTTCAAGCTTTTATGCTGCAGCCAATGATGAAGTAGTATTCTGACACTACCAAAATTCTGCAATTTAAAGCCTAAATTACCAGAATTTAATCCTTCTTCAACAGGAACAACCTCATTGTTCATCTTGGAAAAGAACGACAATAGTAGTGGGAATTTCTAATCAAGCACCTTATATAACTATCCTTTTCAAAATAGAACAACAACTAGGACCTGCATATAGATTGTAAGCTTATAAAAACAACCAAAGGAATTAAATGTAACCTGTTAAGGTTGTTTCACAAGAGCAGGACTTGACGACCAAACAATTTTTTTTTAAAAAAAAGCATACCCTGTATTTTCTTTATGGAAGAATCATATACCGAAGTTTAACACAAAAACTAAATAATGAGCCTGAGCACCTTTAGGCCTTCCAAGAAAATTACTTAAAAGAGGCACCACATTTTCATTTTCTATGCTCCCTTTTCTCGAATATTCAGAATAACTTATGACTAAGCTTCAATGGAGCCACTACAAACATGTATATACATGTTACTCCAACTTTTGTGGACCACATTTCTAATTGGCAATTCTGAAGCAGTTTAGTAGTTTGCAATAAATATCTCTAATTTGGCACTTCTTATAAAGGTCTAGAAATGTTATAAAAAAAAATCTAAAATGCCTGCAAAAAGTTCCTGAAATTTAAATCAAGGCAATATTTCTTTTCTCAAGCAGTCTTTGTTTTCTGTTGATTTCCATTAATCCTACATAGTCCAGTATTACCTGATCCTCGGAAGGAAGTGTTTCCTTTTCTCTTCTTCTCCCTTAAAACAATTACGGAAATAGTACTAGTAATAGTCTTGGCAGCAATAGTGGTGATGGTAGCAATGTGCATATGTACTGTTTCTTACCCTTACCACAGGTCATGTCTGTTCACCTATAACAGATTAACAACTACATGGTATTACGTCCACTATCAATCAGTCAACTATACCTCAATCCCAGATTCGTTAGGACTATATGAATCCTCTGTGTTCATGTGGCTCTACAATATTATTCCACTCTATCCAAAATTTCAGTGTGATAGAATTTAATAAACCTATCAGTACAAGTATGCAATGAAACCAGTAAGAATTTACTTCCAATAATTTCTTCTATCGAAGTGTAGTGTTCTTGTAGATGTACAGTCAGTAATTATTATAGTTACAATCAATGTATGAACATACAAAAAAGTTCTACGGCCTTTAAAGCATTCCATAAGTTTTTAAATCAATCTTGACGAAGTGTTCACTGGATAATACAGGTTTCAACGAGCACAATTGAGCAAAAGCTTAACAGCTAATTTTAAAGCAGCTGAGCCAGTACTACAAACTTCGAAGACTGAAGTTGTGTTATGTCTCAGCAGAATTGCAACTACCATCCACCGGAGGAAATTTCTACTTACTACAAATATAGAGCTACTGTAGAGCTATTTTTCCCTCGCGTATCTGTAATATGAATAAGCAGTTTTGCAGGTTGGGCCTACAAAAGGTTTGTATATAATGGTATTGCGTTTGTAAGTCTAGTTGAAAAATCCTGGAAAGTAAAGCCTCCTTTTCACCTACCATCATATCATTTTGATCTTGGGAGGCCTTAAATACAATTTCAAAATGTCTCAATTGAAACAATTTCAAATTGATGCAAAAAAGGCATCCAGATGAAAGTCATCTTATGAATGTCAAATGAACTTTCTGGACTAGATTCATATCTACCATAAAAAAGAAACAAAGGGAAGATATCAACATCTCATTCGTCAGTTTTGATCAGGAAATTAAAAATGAGTGTTTAAGATATGACTATTGAATTACAAGACCTGAATGTCAACATCAGACATCTTAGTTTAACAGAAGAAGATCAATGCCTCCACCGTACAACAAAAAAGATGCTGAGGGCTAAAGGAGGTTCAGTACTTTCAATTAGATAGGCAGTCCACCCTGGTTTCCCTCTGCCACCGGTTCCTTTGCTAGAACCCACAGAAAAAGAGAGGAGGTACATCTCAAGTTTCATCATCCCATGAACTAAGCACAAAATTAATGAGAAAATAATTTAAGAAGTCACTTTAATTTACACATGTTTTCAGAAATTACCCACTTCAACCACATCATTTAGTTGCTTGTATGAGTTGTCTCCCCTGTCATATCAGTAACCACAAGCTTTCATTACTTTCTTGTCTTTATTGTTAGCCTGTGATTGGACAAGAGTGAGTTGCTCTAGTGGTGAGCACCCTCCACTTCCAACCAAGAGGTTGTGAGTTCGAGTCACCCTAAGAGCAAGGTGGGGAGTTCTTGGAGGGAGGGAGCCGGGGGTCTATCGGAAACAGTCTTTCTATCCTAGGTAGGGCTAAGGTTTGCGTACAAACTACACTCTCCAGACGCCACTAGTGGGATTATATTGGGTTGTTGCTGTTGTTATTGTTAGCCTATGATGCCCTTGTTTTCCCATAATTTCGGATAACATTCACTTATAATGAAATCTTCCCTGATATTACCAGAAAAACCGTTGCCGAGATTCCGAAGTAAATGTTGCACCAAGCTATTGTGACCAAATGCAACTGACACCAACATCTAGTCACATTCATTTCCTTCCACAAATCAGTTAATTGAGGGAGCCACAAAGTTAAGCTGTTAGAAATTTGAACTAGTCACACCGCTAGACAAACCAAATAGGAACTAACATCCTAACTAGTGCTACTTTTAGCAGTCTGCAATGATTTTATGACTTAAGTTTAAATCATACCTTTTGGAATCAGAATGCAGTAAGAAACCTCTTCATGAGGAACATTATGGGAGTCCATATCTATTTTCTTTTCTTAATAACTATAACCACAGACAATATAAGGACATGACCAGCCCTGCTGAAAAATTAATCGTGCCATTCAAGAAACTAGCTAACATAGTGTGTAGCCTATGGATGTATATCAACACCCAGTCTCTGTCCAAATGAAGATATAAATTTAAAATATCTACGAATACGTGATTTCCACATCAATGGGAACTTCAGGACCATTTAGATGAAAATGTTGTGCTTGATTTTCCAGCACATGATAAGACAACAGGAAAACCTTAATTTGTCCATAATATGATCCTTTCACACGGGTGATCTGGGTATTTTGAGCTCTGAAAGCTACACCTTTGATTTTAAAAGAGAATCAAACTAAATAAAATATACCTTTTCAATAAAAATGAAAATGATATCTTCACATAGCATGGAACTGAAATGGTCTGTAAAGGGTTCTTCAGTTTGCCCCTACGAGATAATCCCTGTATAGGCTATGTACTCAGCCCTTTTCTGAATGAGCAAAGACTAGAGTCAGCACTTCATCATGACAGATGTTCCAGTTGTTTAGTTTTTTGCGATTATGTACTTCGCGAAGTTGTCACCATCTTATCTAATGATGACTAATGTCTCAACTTGTTGATGCAATATAGGGCATATGCAGGTTCAGGTTACATACTTCTTTTTCTTATAAGATAAACTTTATTAAATAAAATGTGAGTGAAAAAAAATAAAAAATAAAAAGTCCGTACCAGGAAGGTAGTGATAGGCAGAAAATGTATACAAAAAGAAGTTGGATATTCCTTCACTAATTATCTAGACCATCTATGAGAATTAATTATATGCATTTACGTCATATCCCATCTCTTTCCTGTTTACCATTCTTATTCTTTTTGGACAAAAGGATATGCGTTTAGTAGATACGGGCGCCTTCCTAAGTTTTCTCCCTTGACAAATGCAAGAGTTTTAAGAAGAAAGAATAAATATCTTAAGATAGTTTACTATCATCAATCTACCAAATCGAAAAAAAGATTATACACAGTATAACGAGATACTGCAATAATTTCTCCATCTAATATATCAAGATGGTGTAAGTGTTTTTCTTAATGACCGAGAAATCCTCGAGGGCCAGTGGCGCTCGGTTCGAAACCTCATAATGGGCCTTCCCTTTTCAGGATGGCCTGCAAGTTTTTTTTTTTTTTGAGGAAGTAAGGTGTTGTATTGCTGGCATCAAGAAGATGCAAATAGTACAAAAGAAGAGATGTTAGCTCTTGTACATCTTGTTCTATTCTAATCATAGGGAGCTAACCAAAAAAAATAGGCCATCAGGCCAGGCTCATTGAGCCAATAAAGTCTAGAAAGGGAATAACATTATTTACAGGGGAGATATTACTCCAATTAAAAAGATACACCAGACATCTAACTTTCAAGAAGTGATTAGGAGTTGAAATGCCATCAAAACATCTTCGATTCCTTTCTGTCCAAAGACACCAAAATATGCACTGTGGGACCATTTTCCAGATACTTTTGATGGCCTTGCTAACTTTCCAAAAGCTCCAACTTTCAACTGTTTCCTTAATGCTCTGAGGTAGTGTCCAGCTGATACCAAAAATTGAGAAGAACATGTGCCAGAGATCAGTAGCCACTGTGCAATGCAAAAATAGATGGTTGATTGATTCTGAATTTAACTGGCACATGTGGCATCTATTCACAATCTGAAAGCTCCTCCTACAAAGATTGTCTTGGGTCAAAATAACACCTTTAAGAGTCGTCCATACAAAACAGCTGACCTTTGTAGGCAGTTTGGTTTTCCAGATTAGCTTCCAAGGCCACATGTCAATAACTTCATTCGATGCACAAAGTTTGTTGTAGCCTGCCTTCACTGTGTATGCACCTTCCTTAGAAGTGCCCCATCTTAGCTTATCTGCGTGCTGGATACTCATTGTAAAGTTTGCTAACCTTCCAAGTAGATCAAGCACTCCTTCTATCTCCCAGTCTTGCATGTTTCTCCTGAAAAGGACCTCCCAAGTATTGTTGGATCTATTCTGTGCTACTGTTGAGTTAGGATCACTAGCTAGTTGGAATAAAGATGGATAAGTTTCTTGTAATGTAAAGTTCCCTAGCCATTTGTCCTTCCAAAATTTCACATGTGCTCCATTACCAACTTTGAAGGACACTTCTTATTGGAAGACTTCCTTGAGGCTTTAATGTGTTTCCGGGGCCCAACCCCATGAGGAGCTCTAATGGTTCTGGTACTCCAATTATCCAGTTGACCATATTTGGCTTTCACTATTTCCTTCCATAAGCTAGTGCCTTCTTGCCCATATCTCCAATGCCACTTCATTAGCAAACTCTTGTTGTGTTTTGAAAGACCTCTGATGCCCAGACCACCTTGTGACTTTGGTTGAGTTACAGTTGCCCACTTCACCAAATGAATTTTGTGACCTTCACTGTTACCTTCCCATAAAAAAGATCTCCTCAATTTGTCCAGCTGCTTTTGAACTTTACTTGGCATAGGGAAGAGGGACATGATTTAAATTGGTATGTTGTCCAGGACACTATTAATCAGAGTCACCCTTCCACCCATTGAGAGATATTGCATCTGCCAAGTTGCTAATCTTTTCTCCACTTTCTCAATCACAGCATTCCATGCCTCCACTGACTTATGTTTGGCTCCCAAGGGAAGTCCAAGATAGGTAGTAGGAAATGAGCCAATGTCACAACTCATTAACTCATTATGTCTTCCAGTTCCTCCAAGTTAGGTACCACATTGACAGGATATATCATGCTTTTCAGCATGTTTATGTGCAGACCTGAAATAGATTCAAAAATAAGTAGGGTTAGATTAAGGTACTGCAGTTGCAGTTTTTCAGCCCCACAGAAGATTAGTGTGCCATCTGCATATAGTAGATGGGAGACTGAGATTGAATTCCATGAATTGTTGTTTATCCTGAACCCTTCAATCCATTCTAATTGTCTTGCTTTATCAAGCATTTTGCTCAAGCCTTCCATTGCTATGATGAAGAGAAAAGGTGAAAGAGGGTCTCCCTGCCTAATCCCTTTCTGAGGGGAGAAAAAGCCAATTGGAGATCTATTAATAAAGAGTGAATACTTGACAGTGGTTAGGCTGAACTTGATCAACCTTATCCATCTTTCACCAAACCCCATTCCCCTTAATGTTGACAGTAGATAGGACCAACTAACTTGATCAAATGCCTTCTCTATGTCTAGTTTGCATAAAATTCCAGGGACTCCACTTTTTAGTCTCTCATCTAGTAGTTCATTTGCAATGAGTGCTGCATCAGTTATCTGTCTATCTTTTAGGAATGCATTCTGTTCCCCTGAGATTAGCTTCCCGCTTCCCCATCACTGTCTTTATCCTTTCTGCTAAAAGTTTAGCCACTATCTTATACACACTTCCAATAAGGCTTATTGGTCTAAAGTCCTTGAGCTCTATTGCACATTTTTTCTTGGGAACAAGTGCAATAAAGGAGGCATTGCTCGATTTGACCATATAACAGTTATGGTAGAAATGGTTGACTGCTGCCATGATGTCGGGCTTGATAAAGTCCCCAAGTTTTTTGGTAAAATGCCATTGTGTAGCCATCAGGCGCCCTGGGGCTTTATCTGGTGCACATGGCCTGCAAGCTTGGGTTATAATTTTACATCTTGCAACAGTAAGGATGTTAGCTAAACAACCTAAAATATTTCAGCCTTGAATGCATGCAGTGGTGCAACGACCATTTTCATTACTTTTTAAGGAGAATGACTGTGTCACTACATGTTCACTTAAATTTCATAAAGGAGGACTCCACTATCAAATCTGTGTTTGGACTTCACCAAACGTGGTATCCAAGACCCTGGTTAAGCTTAATTTTCTGGTGATAGTATAGGCCAGTTTCATTTAATGCTTCAGATCAAATGTTATTACACAACACGGTATTCGGAAGAAAAGATAAGTCCTTTGCTCTGCATCAGAAATAACCTTTTTTTTTAATTATTATATTTGCATAATCTATGTTCCGTTCACATGAGTGGGAATAAGTTTGATTCAAGAAGTTTGTTTTGCCGGTCAAACCACCAAAGGGAAGAACAACATGGGACCTCTGGAGTAAGACAATCTCATAATTTTAAAAGTTTTCCTCCATTAGTTGACCAGAGTTAGGTGTTCAACAATGGCTCAATAATTAGAAAGTACACTCATTCATTCCGAAGAAAGTGCACCTCATACAGATGCCCTCTTCAAAACTCCAAATACATTAAGGGCATAACAAGATGTCATTAAGCAGGCACCTATCTGACAAGAAAGAGAACATTAATTTTTATTCATTTATACTAGCGGTACAAGAGAACAGCCAATCCACTGAGGAAAAGGCAACGGAGAGCATATTACCCCATATATACAAAGAGGCAAGAAAATTACACATTTGTTTTTGACTCCACATTGTCTAAACTCTTGACAGGTTATTCATCTCCCATTGCTAATTCCAATGCATAATCATCTCTCTCCTGCAACAGGGAAAAGTGAACCTTAGGAACTTAGAGCAACTTGTATTACTTGCCCTTTCTTACGTCATCAGTATCCTTTCTCGACTGCTTTCTTACATTAATAGGAAATTACAGTAACATAGAACTTACAATAGGTCCTCGAGCAAAATATCTCCCAAATTGAAGCCAATATACCTGAATATACAACATGATGTCAGGTCCGTGGTGGCATAATAGATCAAAACTACACAATTGATCATTTGGCTAAAACTTCAGAGGGGAGTTCTGAAAATAGCTGTCAGTACCTTTTCTGTAAACCCCACTATTTCAACTACAAAAATATCAGCAAAGCTTCATGCTCTACTGATATAATTTTCTATCAAGGTAAAGTTTCCATTAAAATACTACAGGTAATAAGCTAAAATCTCTAAAAAGTTCAAAGAGGAAAACATGAATTCCATCTGGTTACTTGGAATACGATACTCGTAACTTCAGTGTCTCGCGGAAAATAAAGCAGTCAGAAAGGTTAATACATATATTGAAATATGAAAAGTTTGTTGCAGGAACATCACATCTCGCAAAGAACGGGTGCCAGAGCAACACACTATAGGAGAAACTGGAAGGCCAAAGAACAAACATGTTGCTGCCTTTTTTGCTTAGCCCTGCCGGAGCTTAATATTTAACTGTTTTCTTGTCCTGTTCGAACAGAGTCACAAACTTGTTTCTGCTTCTTGTCTAGTCCTCTAAGAGATCAATTTTTTCTTTCTAGCCATTCATTTAGAAAATGAATACACTATAAGCTGAGCAGTTAATCGCAGTCATTTTGCCTTTTACTCATCAGGTCATCAGCTTAATTTAAGCAATTAATTAGTAAAAATATCAATGTATTATATAGTTATATAAAATGAAAGTCATTTCCTCCACAATTCTTATGCATTGCCATTTCCTAGTGAAATTTGGCATTTGAGGCTATAGATTTTTGGTCAGGCTTGATGTGACAAATGCACGAGCTGAGCGGGAATGGCATGAGTTAAAACCAAAACACCTCATTGTTAGTTCTCATAATAAAAAGGCCCCACCGTTAATAGGCTAAAAGTAGGTTGGGCTAAAAGGGTCCAGGTAATTCATTATTGTTATTTAAGCACTCATTAATTCATTTTTGCTAATCTCATACAGCAACAATTTCTCTATATTTTGTTTTCTTTTTTGAAAAAATCTTCTTAATCAAAGGAACCACATGCATCCTGCTTCCACAAAAGCGAGGGTAACTGTCTCTTATAGAAAGTGAGAAAGGAAGAAGTTTAGAGGAGTAAAGAATGTGTATTGCACATAACTCTTTGTGGTAGTGTGTCAGCTGGATGGATATGGCAAGTATTATTGCTGATGATTCAAAGGAAAACTTTTGCATTAGGCATGTGCCTGAGATGAAAAACCTGGTGTGCCCTTTGGTTTCAATCTAAGTTACTCCGACACGGCAATTTAGGTGCCGCACCCGTGCGACGCGACACGACACTAGTATGGGTGTGGGTATGAGATCTGTACCGGATGTGGTCAAACAATTTTGGATACTTTAACCATGACACTGGGTTTGTTGTTGTTGTTGTTGTTGTTGTTATTGACCATGACAGACGGAAAAATTCGAAACGAGATACAATTGATTCGATATCAGAATCAAAACTAGGGTAAATTTGAAGAAAATAGCATATCTTATCTAGGAAATCAATCCTCTACTTATCTACAACTTGAGAATAAAAAAGAATTCCATACTTTACAAGCTATGCGTAAGTATTCCACAAAATTTCTCATAATTTAAAGATATTTTTATATTTTTAATTTTTTTTGAACTATTTTTAGCCGGATCCCGGCACCCGTATCCGTACTAGGAACCGTATCCCCGAATTTTAGAATTTACATCTCGAAGGATCCGACCTCTAGATCCGCACCCGTGTCGGATACCCGCACCCATGTCCGAGCAACTTAAGTTTCAATTGCTTAAGGGCTTGAAGTTGAAAAGACAGAAAAACATAAGAAAATTGGGACATCGTCAGTAAGTATCCAGAGAGGGTCATCAACTGTTGATTCCTAACAAAGGTATGAATCTAGTATGCAGCCATATATATTGTACCCATGCTTCATAGGCCAAACTGAACCCATAAAAGGTGGACGTCAAATGATTATTTAGATGGTAATGGTTGGTCAAATAGATTTGCTCTTTATTGCCACCCAAAGCCAAACTTTTGCAATTCCAAGTGGTTACTTACCTCATCTTCATCCTGTGTTTCAACTTCAAGGTCAGATGACGGAAATCCCACACAAAGAAGTGCATAACCCTACAAATTAAAACATATTCGATTAATCCTGGTAAAAAGGTAGAATAAGACAGGTAAAATGAAGACCGTCACTTCGCTTATATCTAGTTCAAGATACAGGTAAAAAGCCAAGACTTCTTTCAGGTATTAGCAACGCGGACCTCTGCGAAGAGCCGAAGACCCTGTACCTCATCATTTAACCTTAACTAATAGGTCTCAATCATTGTGATCCGAGCCTGTATTTTGGCTCATAGGATTTGACAGACTAAAGGCTACCATCACATTTCTTATAAGTCTGACGAAAGAAGAATTAATGATAAGACCAGTTTTTTAGTTGAGAAGATAGGGAGTTGAGCATGGAAGCTACATCTCCAAGTCATGGCCAAATAGTTGCAAAGAGAGATTATTAACAAACTGGTGAAACATTTCGTCAGTCATCTTGTCATTGAGTATCACATGAAAAAAGTGGAGTATAATTGCTAGCTTGAGCTGGAAGTTTATGAATTCCATCTTCCAAAACCTTGAGGAACAACATCTCTCCATTGTTTTGTGGACAAATAACGTGCAGATGAAGTTCACATGCTTCATCAGTCTTGAGACCAAGAAATTCCTAGTTACATCACATATATGATTTTTTAAATAAGGAAAATGAATTGCATCACATGTATGATGTGACTAGGAATTTCAAAACATTCCAAAACCTTTTGGAACAACAGCTCGTCATTGTTTCATGGACAAATAACATGCAGACAAGGTTTGCATGCTTCATCAGTCTCGAGACCAAGAAATTCCTTGTCACATCACATAAATATCATTATCTTTTTTGATCAGTTACATCAAATATATTAGCATAAAAAGAGAGAAAAATTACATTTAAGGTTTAACAAAGGAGAAACAATCAAAACTACTAAGAATCGACAGTCAAACAATAAAAGCGAATAAGAACTGCATCCACAGAAGCACAACGTGATTTAAAGTACCTTAGACTTCAGCTCTGCAGAAATCCCCAGTGCCTCGGGTTGTCTAAGTTGCCCTGATTTTACACGAACAGCACAGCTCGTACAACATCCTTCAACATATTGGATTATTAAATTAGAAAAATGTGATATAACAGGACCATCATATGGAGAAAATCTGATGAAAAAGAGGCTAACAGTTAAAGGTCAAAGAAACACAACCAAACCCCAATGCATTTGACCCTAGATCAAAGAGAAATGTGCATTTTGTGAGAAACAAACGAAAGAGAACCTTAAAGTTAAAACAAACCACAAACAAAGTGCATGGTACTCCTTACTGAAAATCAAGCCCGCTCCTTTTAAAGTTAGCAGAGAGAGATAACAGCTTCATTAATAGGTTTAAGCATGGAAAGATCCTGACAAGCCAAAACTTTGTGTAAAAGTTGGTGGAGATCTATAATCCCACAAAATCTTTCCTACCAAAAGGTAAGATGACTATAACAAGCCAAAACTTAACTGCCAAATGCCCAGCTCCAATTTTTAAAAACCAGTAAACTTTCAGTTAACTCAAACCATTCCAATACTCATAGTCTGTTAGTAGTTCAAGTAGTATCATAAAATAGCAGCTTAAATATGCAAGAAGAAATAGACTAACATATAAAAAAGTGGAAAAAATGCTATTGTAAATTATTGGATATGAACCAATACCATGCCTGCAAGCGAATGGAAGCGCAATGTTCTGAGCCTCTGCTGTATGCAATATATATTGGTCCTGCATTCCAATTCAACTCTTCAAGTAACAATTTTAAATATAACGCACGAATTTAGCAGGAAAAAGAATTTGGAATTAGTACCTCGGGGACGAGGAATTCGTGAACCACGCCACGTTGGCGGTCGAGAACGGTGACTTTATGTGTGGGAACTGAGGGAGAATAGCTGCTACCATTTTGGCCGGCGACGGGAGTTTGAAACTTCGGAGTAGTTTTGCGGCGGCATTTGACGGAATTCAAAGAGAAGTTGACGGAATTGAGAGAAGATAGTCGCCGGAGAAGAGGGGAAGTGCAAGCGCTACAAGGAGGTTGAAGAAGATCCATTGACCGAAGCAGAGGTTCTGTTGTTTGTGTTTCAGGGGGCAACCGGATAAAGGTCGGAATAATTAACTAATGATCCTCCAGTGTTCACTATTTGAGCCTTTTAGCAGCTATTGTATCTTATCGGGAAGTATGTGTGTCCCCTTTAAATATGTGAGCATCTTTAGTCCCTTATGTTTGTTAAAATAAAGCATATTTGGTGTTACTAATGGAACATGGTTAAAATCTAACTATGACCCTTATGTTTGTTAAAATAAAGCATATTTGGTGTTACTAATGGAACATGGTTAAAATCTAACTATGACCACATGCTACTAAGGTGTCACCGTTGAAAAATAAAACACTTCAACTTGATACTGATATAATAAGAAACTAAATCATATTTTTCCTCCTAGTCTTGAAGTTATTCAATTTGATACTGATTCTTTTCTCTTTGTCTTGCAACTTCTCTATTTCAGCCTTCATGTTTGAAATTTTAGCAATGCATGGTAACAACTCTTTCTCTTATCCAAAATTTGTAAGATTTCTCTTGCAATTATAGTAACAACTCATAGCAATGCATGGTAATATCGAACTTCCCTTCCGTTTCATCTTCATCCATACACATAGTATTCAATGAAATTGAACCCATCATAGTCTTCCTTCGATCCATTCAACGAAATAGAAGTTTCAATTTAGTCTTGTTCTTTATCGTGGAAGATTTTCTTCTAACGTCAGGGCCGTCGTGGAATTCGGAGAAAGGGGAACGGGTTTTGCTTTTACTGCTGGGTTTCGTTTTTCAATTGTGACACATAAGTGGGATGTGTAGTTACCGCTAGATTTTAACCATGTTTTGTTAGTAAGATCAAAGTTGCTTCATTTTAGCAAACACAAGGGACTAAAGATGATCAGAGTGATATTTAAAGGACAAAAATAGATCTACGATCAAAGATAAGGGATAATATTGACTAAAAACTCTTCACTATATCTCCAAAACAAGTACTAGGAGTAACATTTTATCCTTAATTAGTACCTCAGCACGTGCTTGCAATGGTGAGTCATGTAGTACACACTTTACAAAATAACTAGTTAATTAATTCGCTTTCCTTTTGTAAATTTAGTTGTTTAGTTGACATATAAGATATTATAATACAAACATTAAAGATGAATATACAATCTACCAGAATTACAAATTAAATGTATAAGTGTAATAAAACAATAAAAGAAGAAGAAGAGTATTGCAGAGAAAAATAGAGAGAGCGAATTCTTATTGGTTTGTGATGAATTACAATGGAATAGAACATCTCTATCTATTGGGAAAAAGTGACTTAGCCACAAAGTAACAAACTCTAAAATCTCTCTAAAAGATAGACATTCACCATAATTAAAATATAATTTATAACACTCCCCCTTGAATATCTATTCAACAAATAATGTGCCTCATTAAAATTTTAACAAATAAAACCTAGTAGAAAAAAATTCTAATGAAGGAAAAAGAGTACAAATATCTAACAATACGTCTTTTGGTTGCCTCGTTTTACAAGAAATAACAGTGGGACAAAAACTCGTTAGGAAAAAAGAGTACAACGCATATTAACTCCCTTGATGAGATAATCAATTCACATCTTTGAGAATTCGCATTTCAATCTTGTGTACCATCTTCAAAAGATCGTTGGTCGAGATTTGATAAACAAATCAGTCATATTAACTTGAATGAATATGTTGCACCTTGAAATTATCATTCTTGATAGATATGTAATGTCTTCATATAATGTCGTGGAATGGCGTTTTCAATATCTCCATAGAGGTAAAAAAATTCGCCATCACATTATCATGCTTATAGTTATAGCGAGATAAATATGTGCACAAATTGCACTTAGGATGTGGTACTTCAGGACCAAGAATTGTATATGATTTAAATTTCTCAGGGATTGTCATATAAGTTAAGTCATATAAGCCATATAAATAGACTTTAGATACATATCAAGTTTTTATGTCATGCTAGATATATAAGATAAATAAAAGTGATTGCACACACCATTGACTTTATACTTTCAAGTGTTTGAACTGCAAGTCCAAAACTACATATTTTTCATGTGAAATCAATTCTACTTAAATTGTTTCTCCAGACTTAAGATCCTCATATATATTTAGCGCTATCATAGATGTAGTCGATGAATAATTTATATCAGTTCCAAACTCTTTTTCTTTCATAAAGACATAATATAAAGATCTCTTCATTCATATTTTCAGGTACTTGAACCTCTCATGAGATTTTATGAAGTGTTCTGTTATGTGATTGTAACGACCCAACCGGTCGTTTTGAGCATTTGCATTTCGTCCAGATGTTTGAAGTCTTGAGTAGCTTCATATGATATATTATGACTTGTGTGAATCGTCAGTTTTGGTTTTCAGGTGATTCAAGATTGATTTGGAAGAATGATCTCAACTAGGAAGCTTTAAGTTGAAAGAGTTAACTAAATTTGATTTTTGTATATTTGACCTCTGATCGGAGTTTTGATGATTCCTCTAGGTTCGGATAATTATTTGAGACTTGGGTATATGCCCGAATTTGCATTTGGATGTTTCTAGAAGGTTTTGGCGCTAATCGGCAAAAATTGGCAATTTAAAGGTTTAGAATATTCATAAGTTTGATCGGAAGTTGACTTTGATGATATCAGGTTCAGATTGTTGTTCCGGTAATTGTAATAGGTTCGATATGTCATTTGGAACTTGTATGCAAAATTTGGGTTCATTCCGGATTGGTTAGGCTTGAATCGGACACTTGGCTCGAAGTTTGAAGTTTATGAACTTAAGAGGTTGATCTTGATCGATGATTCGTGATTTTGATGTTATTATGTGTGATTTGAGGCCTCGAGTATGTCCGTTATTATGTTTTAATACTTGTTGGTATGTTCGGACGGGGTCCCGAGAGGCTCGGGTGAGTTTCAGACCATTTTTAGGCCCTTTTTAGTTGCTGGTTTTTGGCTACTGGGGTGTGAATCATGATCGCGGACCTTTGGGTCGCGTTCGCGAAGAGCAAATTGTTGTTTGGGCCTTGTGAATCGCAATCGCGGAAGCCATTCTCTTGATCGCGTAGAAGAATTTCTGTTGTCATAAGACTGACTTTGGTATATCTTGCAATCTATAAAGAATTTTGAGATGATTCAAAAATAAAAGTTGTAGACCTTTATGTCTAGTTTTCAGAAAATTAAACTGTTTGCCATTTGGAATTTTTTACAAAAAGTTATGACCAATATACTAGAGGTTGTCTCGAAGAGTTGGGCAAGCTTGTTGGAATTTGTTCATCGCGATCGCGGGGGCATGGCCATGATCGTGAAGGGTAAAAAAATTATGCTGGAATTTTTTTTGAATCGCGATCGTGAGGTTGGAAACCGTTATCATGAAGAAGGACCCCTGCAGTGCATTAAAACATCAAATTTCGGGATTTTGAGTTTATTTTCTTCACTTTTTGAGTTGGGGAGCTCAGATTTGGGCGATTTGGAGGCAATTTTCACCACATGGATTGGGATAAGTATTTTTTATTTGGTTTTGATTATATTCCATTGCAAGGCTGCGAGCTTATTAACTTGTTTACCCGACGGAATTTTTGATGTTCTTTCTTACTTGTAATTATCCTTACTGACTTACCTATATGCCCTTGCGCTTGTAGGGTTGCTTCTTAACTGAATTTTTTTTTTGATTGTTTCCCAGTGACACTCTCCTTTATTTTTGTAACACTTATACGATACCGTTAACTACCCTAACTCATATCTGAATATTTCTCAAGGATCACGATGTCATATCTGTGAGACTAAATTTCCATGTTGGGGTTCACTATGTTTATCTTGCACAATCTGTTGATTTGTCTGTATCCTCTTGTCTAGCCATAACTAGGCTCTTCCTGGATCAACTACTAACTACTCGTTGGTCCATTCTCATATCAATATTCCGCGTAATCTTTCTTGAGTTATTTCCTTTGTCTTAACTTACGTCTCGCACGGGCTCCTTCTCTGTCAATAGCATCTCGGGCAGGAACCCTTACTTTCTCTCCTTGACGTCGTGTTTGCATAATGTTCTGGAATCGTAGCATATTTGTAGGATTTGAATAAGTGTAGTCTCATCCTTTTCTCATTGTTATCACATTCTCCCTTTACCATTCCATAGTTACTAGGATCACTAAATTCTGACTGTCACATCACTCCATATTCCCCCCTTTAGGGGAGTACTAAGATTTAGAGCTATGATGATCTACGTATAGATGTTTTACCTCTTCATCTTTGGCGTCATCATCGATGACCCTTACCCGCCTTGCGGTAATCCTTCTGTACCAAGGATAACAAAATTCCTTACTCATAAGGGTGACACTTAGTGTAACCGGCACACATAGTCCCTTAAGCTTAACTTTGCTCACATTGCTTGCTTTAGGAAAGCGTCTTCCTGAATGACCTTTAAAGGTTATTCTTCTGTCGTCCATTCTATTATCGCCAGAACGCAATTTCTGAAATTCTCATGATGCCGACTTTTATCAAATCACTCAGTCCTTAATTCATGTTTAGTTTATCTTGTTCACCAGCCCATACTGATTTTTATCATTCTGGGGGTCTAACTTTTCCTTCTAGTAATCACGTTAGAGTCACGAAATTATTTCTCGAAATGAGGATGTGACTTTATGACCTATACTCTTTTGTTGCCTCAAGGCCTGTTACCTTTCGTATTTTTCCTTTCCTTGTCTATAGACTCTGTAATACTGTCATTTGTTTTATCTACCGTTGCCATCCATGTATCACATCTTACTCATAATGCTTTATTAACTCTCTCCTTATTTCCCGCTAATATTTATGTCTATCACTTTATTCTGAAAACTTCAACAAGATATTCTTTTGCTTTTAGCTCCCCTTGCTCCATCCACTGGCTCTTCGAGTTGCCTAACATTCTCTCTCTATTAGGGACGGGAGTCACACTAAGATAATGTTTATCCCTTCCAGGCTTCCAGTGCCTATCTTTGTAGTACTCATATCTAGTTGTACTGTGTTAGAGTGCACCATCTGGGTGTCTCACAAGGAGATCTATTAGCACATTTGCAATATCCTTCGGAAATGTCAACTAACGCAAATAATCCATCCACTATTTTGGGTCACTCTAACC